GGTGCTGGTGGAGGAGTTGCCGATGGAGTTTTGGAGGAAGTCTCGCACGAAATGCGTTTTGGAGAGATAGCAGATGCACGAAAGCCTATGTTTTTCCATACAAAGTCCGTCCCCGAACCTCGATGATCTACCTCTGCTGTGCGACGGGTGCGAGACGGTCTCGTGTGTGGTCGGATCATGTTCGGATCATGGGCGGATATTCTCGGATCGGTTCCGCATTGTAAATGGGGTGTCAACTGTTTTTCGTGCATGTGTGGTCGACAGAATTCCATTGTGATTTGCAACTGTCGGATCGTTCCCGCATTGTAAATGGGATGCAAGTGGTGCTGGTGGATGAGTTGCTGATGGAATTGCATTGTGATTTGCAATTCTATGATCGTTCCCGCAATGCAAATGGCATTGCAAGTGGTGCTGGTGGATGAGTTGCCGATGGGGTTTTGAAGGAAGTCTCGCACGAAATGCGTTTTTGAGAGATAGCAGATGCACGAAACCCTATGTTTTTCCATACAAAGTGCGTCCCCGAACCTCGATGATCTACCTCTGCGGTGCGACGGGTGCGAGACGGTCTCGTGTGTGGTCGGATCATTCTCGGATATGTTCGGATCATCCTCGGATCATTCTCGGATCGGTTCCGCATTGTAAATGGGGTGTCAACTGTTTTTCGTGCATGTGTGGTCGACAGAATTCCATTGTGATTTGCAACTGTAGGATCGTTCCCGCATTGTACATGGGGTTGCAAGTGTTGCTGGTGGACGAGTTGCTGATGGAATTGCATTGTGATTTGCAACTCTAGGATCGTTCCCTCAATGTAAATGGGATTGCAAGTGTTGCTGGCGGATGAGTTGCCAATGGAATTCCATTGTGCTTTGCAACTGTAGGATCGTTCCCGCAATGTAAATGGCTGTGTCAAGGTTGCTTCGTGCTGTGGCTGCATTGGTAATACTATTGTCTTTTGCAGCGGGACTTTTTAAATCGTATTGGAGTGGCTGCATGAAGGCTGCGACACTGATTTGTCAGTAGATTTTCTCCATTTTGGCGCTAGTGATTTTCTTTCTAAAAATCATTTTAAAAAGTGTTTCAAAATCGTCTTTTTTTCGCTCTGGCGTCGAGATCCGGTTTTGGAGCTACAATTTCCGACGCCGTTGTGCGTAGTTCTATTGTGTTTTGCAACTCAGTCTCTGCAGATCGCATTGTAGTGGCTGCGTCAAGGTTGCTTCGTGCTGTGGCTGCGTTCGTAATACTATTGTCTTTTGCAGCTAGACTTCGTAAATCGTATTGGAGTGGCTGCATGAAGGCTGCGACACTGATTTGTCAGTAGATTTTCTCCATTTTGGCGCTAGTGATTTTCTTTTTAAAAATCCTTTTAAAAAGTGTTTCAAAATCGTTTTTTTTCGCTCTGGCGTCGAGATCCGGTTTTGGAGCTACAATTTCCGACGCCGTTGCGCGTAGTTCTATTGTGTTTTGCAAATCAGTCTCTGCAGATCGCATTGTAATGGCTGCGTCAAGGTTGCTTCGTGCTGTGGCTGCATTCGTAATACTATTGTCTTTTGCAGCTCGACTTCGTAAATCGTATTGGAGTGGCTGCATGAAGGCTGCCAGAGTGATTTGTCAGCAGATTTTCTCCATTTTGGCGCTAGTGATTTTCCTTCTAAAAATCCTTTTAAAAAGTGCTTCAAAATCGTCTTTTTTTTGCTCTGGCGTCGAGATCCGGTTTTGGAGCTACAATTTCCGACGCCGTTGCGCGTAGTTCTATTGTGTTTTGCAACTCAGTCTCTGCAGATCGCATAGTAATGGCTGCGTCAAGGTTGCTTCTTGCCACGGCTGCATGCGTAATACTATTGTCTTTTGCAGCTGGACTTCGTAAATCGTATTGGAGTGGCTGCATGAAGGCTGCGACAGTGATTTGTCAGCAGATTTTCTCCATTTTGGCGCTAGTAATTTTCCTTTTAAAAATCCTTTTAAAAGTGCTTCAAAATCGTCTTTTTTTCGCTCTGGCGTCGAGATCCGGTTTTGGAGCTGCAATTTCCGACCCAGTTGCGCGTAGTTCTATTGTGTTTTGCAGCTCAGTCTTTGCAGATCGCATTGTAATGGCTGCGTCAAGGTTGCTTGGTGCCGCGGCTGCATGCGTAATACTATTGTTTTTTGCAGCTGGACTTCGTAAATCATATTGGAGTGGCTGCATGAAGGCTGCGACAGTGATTTGTCAGCAGATTTTCTCCATTTTGGCGCTAGTAATTTTCCTTTTAAAAATCCTTTTAAAAAGTGCTTCAAAATCGTCTTTTTTTCGCTCTGGCGTCGAGATCCGGTTTTGGACCTGCAATTTCCGACCCAGTTGCGCGTAGATCTATTGTGTTTTGCAACTCAGTCTCCGCAGATCGCATTGTAATAGCTGCGTCAAGGTTGCTTCATGCTGAGGCTGCATGCGTAATACTATTGTCTTTTGCAGCTGGACTTCGTAAATCGTATTGGAGTGGCTGCATGAAGGCTGCGACAGTGATTTGTCAGCAGATTTCCTCCATTTTGGCGCTAGTAATTTTCCTTTTAAACATCCTTTTAAAAAGTGCTTCAAAATCGTCTTTTTTTCGCTCTGGCGTCGAGATCCGGTTTTGGAGCTACAATTTTCCGACGCCGTTGCACGTAGGTTTAGAGCAGTGAAGTGTGGAGAGTGCAGTGTGAAGTGTGCAGTGTGAAGGAAGCAGTGGGAAGTGAGAAGTGTGAAGTGTGGAGTGTGAAGTTTAAGTTTGGAGTGTGAAGGAAGCAGTGAGAAGTGACAAGTGTGAAGTGTGGAGTGTGAAGTAATTCCATCGTTCGTGCGGTTGTATGTTGATAACCTCCATAAAATGACCACCGTGACTTTGATTAGTGTGACCATACCTGATGTGACTGTGACTGTGACTATTCTGATCATGACTACTGCGACCATAGATACTATGACAAAGACTACTTTGACAATGACCGTTGTGGCTGTAACTGTAGTGACAATGAGTATTGTAACTGTTTGGACTGGCCCCTTTTTAGGTAATGACAGTGGGAAGTAGAAGTGACGGCATTAGTGTCCCAAGAATAAATGACTAGAAAGTGAAGTGTGGACTGTGAAGTGTGGAGTGTGAAGTTTGGAGTGCAAAGAGTGCAGTGTGAAGTGTGGAGTGTGGAGTGTGAAGTGTGAAGTTTGGAGTGTGAAGGAAGCAGTGAGCAGTAAGAAGTGTGAAGTGTGGACTGTGAAGTGTGAAGTGTGAAATGTGGAATGTGAAGTGCGAAGTGAGTGTGAAGTGTGAAGTTTGGAGTGTGAAGGAAGCAGTGGGCAGTGAGAAGTGTGAAGTGTGGACTGTGAAGTGTGAAGTGTGAAATGTGGAGTGTGAAGTGCGAAGTGAGAAGTGTGAAGTGTGAAGTGTGGAGTGTGAAGTGCAAAGTGAGAAGTGTGAAGTGTGAGGTTTGGAGTGTGAAGGAAGCAGTGAGAAGTGAGAAGTGTGAAGTGTGGACTGTGAAGTGTGGAGTGTGGAGTGTGGAGTGTGAAGTGCGAAGTGAGAAGTGTGAAGTGTGAAGTTTGGAGTGTGAAGGAAGCAGTGAGAAGTGAGAAGTGTGGACTGTGAAGTGCGAAGTGTGAAGTGTGGAGTGTGAAGTTTGGAGTGTGAAGGAAGCAGTGAGAAGTGAGAAGTGTGAAGTGTGGACTGTGGAGTGTGAAGTTTGGAGTGCGAAGAGTGAAGTGTGAAGTGTGGAGTGTGAAGACTTTGCTTCGTCTCTCGCTGAAAAAAAAACCGCTTGTCGAGGGAAGGACACGCTCGGGACAGGCTGGCCTTGAACTATAGGTCATTTATTCTTGGGAAACTTCCGCCGCCGGCTTGCCCGGGTCTATGTTATGTAGTATGTGTTCATATACATATCATACACACACACATACTTTAAAATATACATACCATACATATCGTACATACCATGTAGACACACAAACCATATAGACACACAGATACACACACACAGACGTAGTTCACATATCCATATGTCAAATACATACACATCTACATACGTATAGCTAGACATCTAGATGGACATCCAGACGGACATACGACATAGGCATATAAATACACATATGCATATATACGTATACATATGCAAATGCATTTATACATATACACCACACATATATACACATGCATGGGCAATAAGAAAGAACATGTATCGAACCACTTGCTATTTCTTCATCCCTTACGCACCATTCCGCTCATTGAGCTTCAGATTTTTTCGCTGCGCCAGACACTGCAGAGACCAAAGATCAAGCAAAAACCAAGAGCGTCCACGGCTCATTCGGTGGAAAGAAAACTTGCAGCTGTTGCGTGTTACCATGCAAAGGCCAGCAGAATTCCAGTAAGACCCTTTCTTCTCTATGTTTGTGCAGTTCTACTTCCCTGATCTTCCCTGGCATTTTCCCTACTCACAAGTCACTATTTTCTTTTACTATTTTTTCCAGGTGCAGTTCCAGTCACTATTTTTTTTTAACTATTTTTTTTACTATTTATTTCCAGGTACACTTCAAGTCACTATTTTTTTTTACAGTTTTTTTTACTAATTAATTATTATATGGTTTCCAGAGGTTGGCTAAAATCCCCCTTCACAACCCTAGATGTTGTGAGGCCAGCACTGTTCATCTAAAGATCTTCTGATCTCATGGAGGTTAGTACCTCCACTGCAGCCCATATTCAGTGAAACGATATTTCTATGGTGATGCATGCAAGAAAGATCGACATTAAGTCATTGCAGTGCTGACGAAACAGGTTCACATTCTTTTCAGACCAACCCCAGCGCTGCTCAAGACATCTCAATCTTCCTATGTTACAGGCAAAGCTCAAAAGATCAAAACCCCAATGCCCAACATGGGCATCTTTAAGATTTATCCAGCACATCTAGCGCTGAACCACAAATGATCGAAAAAAATCGATCATCTCACACCGCTTTGTAGCCCCTGGCGAGGGTGAAATTGTGGCAAATCGAGACCCATAAAAAGTCTAAACAAGGCAAGCTGGCTTTTTGAACTCCTTCAGCACGGCTCCAAGCTCTGCACGTGTCATGCGCGACTCTGCCACCTCAGTCAGGCACAAGCCAGCATAAAACCAAAGTCAAGTCAAATGGGAAACTTCAGAATTCACACAGAGAAGTGAGGCCCTGGCAGCCTCACCCAACTTCACACGAATGTTGCTGAATGCGGCCTCATCTTCAATCCCCTGCAGCCTGGACATGCGTCACTCAATTTCAAAAACAAGTTGACTTAAGAGTTGCATGAGGGGCTCAGCAACAGCCAAAAAAAAAATGCGCACCACACCTCGAAAAGAAGGTCGTGAGGCGCTGGACATTCTTCTCAATCCTGCTCAGGCCATCCTTAAAGCGGGCATTGCCATCTGGCATGTCCAACTTCAGTGATCCCAGCTGCGAGAGTTCCTTCTTCGCCTCCTGGCCTCATGCAGTCATGTCGTACGTACAAGTGTGTTACTTATGTCCAACACAAGATCAAATCTATTTTAAGGGCCAGACGTGCAAGAGCCACCTTTTCCGTCACTGTTTTGCCAGCAAGAGCAATGTCTGACAAGGGTGGCCCCTTAGGCTGCGGAACGGACTTCGCTTTGGGCTTTGCCTTGGGGCCTTGGATTGCAAGGACTCATGGAAGGCAAGCCCCACAGCAAGAAGAATAAATCAAGATCACAGTAATCAAGAAATCCAAGAAACGCATGTTGCCATTGCCCACAGGCGCTGCTTGATCACTCGCAGGCGTCGCAGGAGCAGCAGTCGAAGCTGCCATCTGCTGGCGCACCAGAGCCAGTGGGTCAGCAACTGACACTTGCGTGCCAACATGGTTGCCCGGAACCAGGAAAGCACCCATGGCATCACTGGCACGAATGCTGCCACCAACTTCCACAGACATGGTACTGTCATCCGTGGTCGTTTCTTCAGTGACGACACTGGCCCAGTACTTGGTGCTATTTTGGCAATTGGGGGCATCGCGATCTGCGATCCCACCACGCGCCACACATCCGGCAATCTTCTGCCTGTCTCAGCGCAATGAAGCGGGATCAGGGAGCCACACCCTGTAACTGAAGTTAATCCATGACATGCTTCCATCAGCGCAAGATAAAACATAAATTTATGTGCATGTGATACAGCCAAGGCACTCAGAAAACCCTGCTTGCTGCATTTCAGAGATTGTCATCAAACGACGGGTCGTCCTCATGGTTTCACTGTGGGTTCGGCTCGCACGAAAGGCACTCTCCACAGCCTGCAAATTTTCACCATTCTGCACGTAGGTTTTCAAAACCTTGAGGCGCTCAGCTTTGGTGCCTGACCCAAAGAGCTTGGTGATTTCAGGAAAGGCACTAGCTCTCGGTCCCTGCACCACACGCTGCAAAGCCATGAGCTGCTTGCGGTGGGTGGTGGAAGTCACTGGCCCCACGGGCTCTGTAGGGACGGCGACAGCTTCAGCAGCCACCGGAGCTGGGGCAGGCGGCACCGCAACCTCCGGAACCAAAGGAGGGGGCTTGCCATTGGCAACTTCTTCCGCTTGCTTGGCCATCTCAGCATCATGACGGGCAGTTGCCTGCTGTACGGCTTCTGCTTCACATTCTGCTTCTGCATCTGCATCATGAGCCAAATCTTCATCTGGCAACTCCTCACCAGTCTCCCCAAAGCGAAGCGTCGGAGCATGGCGAAGCTTATCCCAGCTGTCAGGCTCAGGCAAGCGGTCGTCGAAGACCTCCTTGGGCTCCTGCTCAAGTACAAAGCTGGGAAGCTTTTGTTTCTTTCTATTGGTGTTTGTTAAATCCATGCATGACCCATGCATGAAATTTAAATGCATGCATAACATGAAAATGGTCATTATATATTAATATACATATATATATATTAGTTGCATGTTAAGTAGATAGTTATATTGTACCTAAATGTTCCATGCATGGCAATGACATGAGAACAAAGAAAACAACCATGCATGCGTGAATGGCATCGAACAAAAAAACAAACCTACTAACAACCATGCATGCATGCATGAACAACATTGAAACCCACATGAACTAACAACCATACATGCATGCATGAATGGCATGAAAAACACATGAACCATAACCATGCAAACATGAAAAGCACATGAACCACAACAACCGTGCATGCATGCATGAACTGCATGAAAGACATGAATGGCATGCATGCATGTAAAAAACACATGAACAACATGAACAACATGAACACCATGGATGGCATGCATGATGGTATGAATGCCTTCTTTCTAGTCATGAATGCATGGTCATGCATGCATGCATGCATGCATGTATGTATGATCCATGCATGTCATTTTGAAGAGCAAGCATGTCCTCATCAGTGTTCACGATCTGGACACCAGAGCCTCCACGAAGCATCGCCTGTCCACGTAACAAAGTCGAGGTGGACCTTGGGAAAAACAAGTTGCTCTTAAATCTATGGGCTAAAACTCCACAAACAAAACACCACAATTCCACAAGATAAAGCTGGGAATGGTACTTCGCCCTCCTCAGCTTAGACGAAGTCAAAGAAGGTGAGTAGGGAGGAGTCCCTGCACCGTCAGACTCATCACACTGGGTCTCTCCAACTTCATCTTGGGCTGCGTTCCCAGCAGCACCATAGGCCAACTCTTCATCTGAATCTGCTTCCTCAAATGCCCCAGGAGGAACAGCAGAAAGAGCAGCCTCCTTGTCAACTGCCTGACTGGGAGGAGGGTCCTTTGCTGAAGATGCAGTGGACTCAGTTTTCTGAGGTTGCTTCTCTCGTTTCTCCTTCTTGGCCTTCTTCGGCTTCGGCTCAGGGCAAGTTGATTCACCCTGCAGCTCATCGAGGATCAGCTGGGCTTCCTTGACAGAAAGCAGGGTGGCAGCTGCCATCTGCTTCGCAGTAGGTGCTTGGCCCCCATTCTTTCTATAGAGCTCATCCAGCACTTCTTGCAAAACAGCAAACGATGGATCAGCCATAGCGCTTCACCAGCTATGCTGCTACAGTTCCCAGGGCTATACCGTTTGGAAAACCTGCAAAGCAGAAATTGCCACACCAGGCCTTTGCACAACTGACATGCCAAAAACAGCAAAACAAATGCTAACAAAAATGTTGGAAAATGACCTGTGAAAATTCACGGGGTTTTCTCGGGGTTTGCTGGGGTTTTCACGCAGAATTCTCGGAAAATTCACGGGCAATTGTTCGAACAAGGTGGGTGGCATCTAGTCGAGCCATCACATGGCAGCAAGTCACTCATGCTCTACAAAGGTCATTTGCCTCAAGATCTTCACATCATGGTATGCTCGGTCAAGAAGTGCCGACCATCGATCTAATGGCCGGAAAGAAGGTTGTTCACGAAGGTACGTGATGACTTCGAACAATTTGGCCTCACCACTGCCAAATTGCCACAACAGTCGGTCACCTCACCGGTTGCTATGAAAACAAAAGGCCCAGGCATCTTCCCACAAATCTATGTCTTCTTCGTTCTTCCAATCGATGTCCTCCCAAAAGATTGTTTCAAACATGCAGTGCCCAAAAAACAAATCCCTCCTGAAAAAGTTCAAGGTCGCTCTTTTTGAAGAGCTCTGCTTTGCGTTCTTGAAAGGGGCTTTCCGGAAGCGCCTCTGCGGCACAAATTCATGCAGCCAGAAAAATACACTGCTGAAGCCCAGGGCCTCCCAGTGGTGGTCCGCCATTTCCTTCTTCAATTCTGCAAAGTGAGCTCCAAAGCGCTCATGGTATTGCCTGGGCGCCAAAACTTTCTCCAAACAAAACGATCATTCAAATCATTGTTAGCAAAAATGGTTGTTGAGAAAAAAGGTTTGGGAGTTTCATGTTTCAAAATGGTTTTGGCTGAACAGGAACTGCTGCCTGGATACTGCGAAGCTTGGAGGGCATCCTTTCGCCCAGACCAGCTCCAGGTCCCATCTTCTTTTCTCACTCTTTTGACTAAATCACCTGTTAACTCCTGCATTCTTCCTTTGCTCATGTACCCAGCTGCCACTGCTAAACGCTGAAGCAACATGCGGTCATTTCCATACAGCCAATGCCGCTTTGGAGTGCAATTGTTGTCGTTGGCATAGTTTGCTCCCCAGATTGCTGTCCGGAAAATGTTATATTTGTTGAACAATTGTTGCAGACGGGGATGGATCTCTGCAGCTGAACCACCCGGCTGTTCCAGAACAAACCGACATAGTAAGGCTAAGCTCAAATAGGCCAGCAAGGCCACTCTTGACGCCAGAAGATTTCCCAGCGAAACAAAGGAATATCCTTCGTTTCCACACGGAAAAAGGATGCTTCTCTGGTGCGTTCCTGCGCTCCTCAGGCACATTCAAAAACAATATAGACATCAACATGTTCAATATATATATATATGCATCTTGAATTTTTAAATTTCAGCCAGGTCAATTCATTCAAGATTCGGAACGCAAAAGGAGTTGCAGCACAAAGCTAAGATGTGCAACGCTGCAGCTTTCGACCTTCTCATGCACTGGAGGCACAGCCTCACCAAAAAAATAAACCGACAGCCAATTAAATTCCATTAAGCTGTGTTCCACATCATCAAAATTGGGGCTGCTGCGCAAAACCTGCCACTGTCGTGAAATCAAAGGTGTGGTACTCCTTGTCCTTGGTCTTGTCGAGGCTGACTCCAGAAAATCCAGCCTGCAGACAGCACGCAGAGCTATGAGTTTCACCAAGCGGGCAAGGGTGGCATCAAATATGTGTGTGGCTCACTCTTTCGCTTTCTCCCAAATTTTTCCACATACACATACATATATATATATATATGTGTGTTCTTATACATGTGCACATGTATGCATGTACAGTTCTTAATAATGTGCATGTGATTTATATATATATATTTAAGAGATAAATAGATAAGAAAGAAAGATAGATAGACAGATAGATAGATAGACAGGCAGATAGATAGATAGATAGGTAGGTAGGTAGATAGATAGGTATATTTATATCAGTATATATATATATATATAAATAAAGCAGGCCCCGCCTTCCAAAGGGCAGCTGAAACTCTGCCTTCTCCACTGAAGTATTCTATGTAATCATACGCCTGGGGAAAATTGCAAGAATTCAACAGGATGAATGCTGACAGCATCAGCCTGAGCTCCTGGCAATCGAATCATCCAAGTCTCGGATGTGCACCAAATGCAGCACACAGAGGATAAGCATCTTTGGGCAGTCCCAAAGTAACATTTCTGCTACCACCATGATGCAAAACAGCCAGGCGGCACCCGTCACTGGAGCAAAAGCATCTGCAAAGGGAAAAATCAAAGTGTTGACTTTGGTTTCAAAGAGCGAAGATGCACAGCACTCACGAAAGAAGGCTTTGAAGCTTACAGTGGGCAACACGCTGTTTTTTCCCCAAAACCCCTGGTCAATCTGGACGGACATTGTGGTCATTACCACAAACAATTTGGAAAGCAAGGTTCCAGCCCTGCTCAGAGCAAAATGATCTACACAAACCTCCTGCGCTTAAGTTCCTTCTCAGGAAGTTGCGACACCAGATCAGCCCGTAAGTTTGAACTCATCCATGCCTGGTTGGCCTCAACATGTTTCATGCCCTTCTCTTTCTGCTGCTTGATGAAAGCCAAGCGCATCTTGCTGAAAGTGTTTGGGTTGTACTTCACATCTGGCTGCTGAAGCAAAGCTGCAGGATCAAGACCCTGTGGGGGGGATGTACCAGGCTGCTCCAGTGCAGCAGGACAAGCATCTACTGGAGGCTCATCCAGTTTGAGTCCTTCTTCAACTTCAGGACCTGCAATTTCCTTTTGCTTCTTCGATCTTTTTCCACCTTTGTTCTTTGCTGAAGATTTGCCCTTTGGTTTCTTCGGCTTTGCTTGTTCTTCTACAGCAACGGTGTCATCTTCCCCAGCTGTGGTGGCAAAAGGGGCCACTGCTGGGAGTTGTCTGGACAAGGACTCCAAAACAAAGTCAGGCAAACCATCTTTCCCACGAATGGGTGTGGCCACTGGTCTTTTTTTCAGCCCCTTGCTTTCAGCCAAGAGGTCAAGTTTGTCTCCCATGCACTGTTTCAAGCGCTGCTGCAAACGAGACCAGTCAAAGCTTGAACTGGCTTTGCTTGGCGCCGGGGCTACATTATCCAGGTCTTCATGGGAAGCAGCTCGAGATGAACTTTCCGAAGCATCATTTGCTACCACATCACGGCTAATTCCTGCATCAATGCACCGCTGCTTCAACTGCTTCAAGCCAGGCGACTTTGCATTGCCAGGCGTCTCCCAAAACAACCTCCTGAATTTGGAGCCCAATTTGCGTAGGCCAGCGCCCATCTTTGCAGACCATTCTTCTAAGGCCTCCTCGGTGACCCCTGCTGGCACCAGCTTGGACGAAACATAAAAAGCCAGAATTGCCTTTGCCAGGATCTCTTCCGACAAACGGATGGAGGGCGCCACAGACATAGTGGCAAACACCACCTGCATGCAGCAAGCAAGCAAGTGAATTCCCAAAAGCTATAGAAGGTCATGGATGCAGAATCCACACAGCCAAAAAAAAACATGCCTCATGGTTTCTCTCAACGTCTTTGATTGTGGCTTCGGATCTGCTATCAAAGAGGCCCCTGGAGTGAGCTGTGATGAAATTGAAGCCCACCTCCCAAGCATCCAACATGAGCAACCTCATGTTGGATAAAATCACACACTCATTCAAAAAAAGAACTGCTCTTGGAAAGTATTGATGTCAGTGAGCCCACCTCTTTCAACACAGGCTCTTTGGCAAAAGCCGCAGCATATTTTTGAACCAGGTCCGGTTCCTTCTGAAGTTGTTTCAGCAGCCGGGGCATTTGCCCAGCACCACATTAACAGGAGCCCAAAACGAGCTACCACACACCAGAAGGTGGAGAAGCCAAGCACCAGCCAACAACAAATTCCACAAAAACATGTGGCACCTATAGCCGCATCGTCCCTGGGTCACTTGGCGAGCTTTGCCAGCTCCGGTGGCGACGGTAGGCCTGAGCAGGAGCAAGATTAAGTCTGGCACCAACACCTGCCCAACATGACATGCATGAATTAAAAAACTTGCGTGCATGAACCCTGGGCATGGATGCATGACATGGCATGACATGACATGACATGACATGACATGTTAACAAACTGACATAGCATGACATGTTAAAAAGAACCATGGATGGATGCATGCATGCATGGATAGCCATGAATGCATGTAAAACAAACAGAAACCACATGCATGACATGCTAAACAAACAAAACCCTACCATGCACCATGCATGGATGCCATGAATGTCATGCATGCATATCATGAATTCAATGCATCCATATCATGAATTCCATGCATGGATGCCATGAGTTTCATGAGTGTTCATGCCTACTGCGTCCATGCATGTCTTGACATGCTCATGCATGCATGCATGCCAGCCATGGGTTTCATGCGTGTACAGTTTCCGTTTCATGTCTGTACCGTTTTAAGAACTGAGGCCCCGACCGTAGGCATCTGCCATGACCTGAGCTGATAAACTCAAACAAAATCACGGCTGCCACCTTCCAGACAGCACAGTGGCAGCACAGAAAAAAAACAACACACTAAGGCACACAGAGCGGGACAAATTCTAGCAGTCCACCATGGGCACCTGAGAAACGAGCGAATTCCCAACAATTTTGTCTTTATAACATGTTGGATCAAGATGTTGCAAGTTGACACAAACATGGTGGACACTGCAGTGGCAATGGCGCCGCGATAGAACATTTTTGGCCGCCCTTCAACTGCAAACTGCCCAGCTGCCGTTCGATCATGCCAACACCTTGTCACATGTAAAGCATGGTGATTGCAAACAGCAAGTGGGCAAAAAAAATCAATCAACCCCTGCCTCACCACCAGAGCCAATAAGGCGGTGGAGGCTCCACAATCCAACTGCATGATGCGGGCCACAGCGTCATGCAAAACTAAAATGCAAATTGATCGAAACTCCAACCTCCATGCCACCGGTGGGGAACTCCAAGCCGGCTTAGGCGGCGGAGGCACTATGTGCACTGTGCTCCCATCAGCACGCCTCCCAGCAAGCAAACAATCAATCATGTTTTACAGCCTGCCTAAAAAAATCTCGGCGAAACACGCCAACATATTCAGCCCAGCCTAAATTGCAGTAGGTCCTTTTCGAAAGCATTCGGCTTGGGCTTGGGCGGCGTGGGCTGGCACACCTTTGCCACAGCCGGTGAGCCCACCTTGGGTGGTGGCCCTGCATGTGAGGACGAGGAAGGCATAGCTGCAACAGGGATTGCTTTGCTCTTCCTATTCTTCGCTGCAGCGAGCCAGTGTTCCTACCGCAGGGCTGAGCTAAGTCAAAATCCAAAGAATGAAATCTTTCAACAAATCCAACCAGCCTTCTTCACCGGGTCTTTGGGACACTGCAAAGTTTCCAAGTACTCCTTGGTGCCTTTCAGGAGTGGATGTGCAGGTTTGCACTTGGGAGTTTGCTTCATCAGTGGCAGTGGCTTCTCCAGATGCACAGCATCATCAGGGTTCAGCTCTCTTGGCGGCGGGTGGCTTAACCTTTTGGATTTGGCGTCTTTCGAAGCAGCCTCGCAGACAAACAAAGCCGCAACAAGGAAAAGGGAAATATATAATGTGTTTTAAATATCAAATGGGGGAGGTCAAACAAATACAAAAATATATAATATGCACGCATATGCACGTGAAAAACTGTTGGTAAGCCGCCAGCAAGTAAATCTCTCGGCACGGTCTTGTCCTTCCAAAACATGCATGCCAAAAAAAATCACATAGGCACTCAGCATCAAAAGGCCACTCCTTGTCAATTGTCTTCTTCACATTCAATTTTTTCGGGATCACCATATTCTGCTGGTGACCATTTGAGCCAAAAAAAACTTCCGAACCCAAAACCATCTTCCACACAGAAAATGCCTTCGCTGTCATGCACATGTTCAGCACAAAATGGCATCTCTATTAAGAAACAACATGTTTCAACACAGCATGTCCAAAAATATTCACACCTACTTTGTCCATGATGTACTTTCAAGCACCAACAAATCGAGGCCCTGGCCATCTGGTTTTCCTTCAAATCAAAACATGTTTCACCCCTCTATGTGGAGCCTCCTGAGCCCTCTTTATGTGAGCCAAAAAAAGGTGAGCGCACAAAATCAGGCACAAGTACTGCACCCAGCCATACCAACGGAAAAAAACAAGGTAACCGTTAGAATTTCAATGAAACTAGTGGGGATTTAGAGAGGATAGAAGGGTTTTAGATAAGAAATGATCATTTCCACTCTAACACCCCAAATCTGCTATCTGAGGTTTTTAGGTACGAAACGCATGTCTGGGTCGCGGCTTTCCTACCTTTTCGCGCACCTGCATCTTCTTTCTTCTGACTCTTTGTCTTTCTCTGACTCTTCCCACCTCTGCTTTTCCATCGGTCCATATTGTCGGAATCGGAAGTTTGACTTCTAAACTTCCTTCGATAATTGGAGCACCCCCCGTTTTTGAGGTACAATTCAAAAACACACTCTTCAAACTGTTGGTGAACCATATTGCAACTTGAGTTTCCATTGGTCAGATATGGTCCAATGATGTCAGATCAAGTGAAATTCCGAAGCCATTTGGGCAACCCCATCCCAGCCCTCGAACTGTTGCAGCACCTGCCATGGCGGTGGAAGACCAACAGCTGATTGCCGATGCTCAAAACGAGGAGCGCAGTGCAGGAGGCTGGCGACGGGCATCCGGGCCCTTGGTGCTTGGACTTCTGGGGAGCAACCTGCTGTTTCTTGGAGTCTGGCAATGCAGGATGATCCTGGAAGTTTGCAAATCATCAACGGAGCTATGGCTAGCCTTACTCCCCTTTGTTTATAGGGGCCAAGGGGCTACGAATTGAGCAAACCGTTTGATAGTCAATGTCAACCCCAGTTGAAGAAACATTGGAAAACAGTGGCTGGCCATCTGAATTGTTCGGGGCTAGTGCCAACAAGTGATGATTTGTTATTCATGAAATATGATACAATGCGACCCCGAAAAAATTGAAATCTCCCCGTTTTCTATTTAAATTCTGGTGTCTTGATTGGCAACTGGATGATTTCTCCCTGGGAACTGGCACGCTTATATAATATGAAGGGAAACGATTTAGACTCAGTTGCAATTATTACAATTCATTGGTAGTACCCCCCCAAAAAAAACAAAACATAGATCAGTAATTTACCACTATTTTAATTGGATGTTACTTTTCTATCTTGTCGGGGTTGCTATACAGGCTATACTAATATTGTAACTTACCTCCAGAATCAGGACATGAAAAGACACTTGTTGCCACATGTTGCCATCTACCCCAACGGAAATGGTGTTGAAACAACTTGTGTTGAAACATTTTTTTAATCAACAGACAAGCATGCCGATGTATACAAAGTGTGTGTTTTTTTGGGTTTGTAGTGTTTGCATTCTTTTCAGTTGTGTGTGCGCAGTGGAGGGGGGACAAGGTCTTCCAATGTTAAGGTTTGCCAGGTCTGCGTTTCTGTGGCAGGTTAAATTCATGACATGTCCGTAAAAAGGCAAGTCAGGACAAACTTTATTAGCATGATTTCTAATCGTTAGATAGTAAAAAAACTTGGTGGGGATATATTGGCGGTTCCACAAATGGGGTATCACCAATAGCTGGATGGTTTATAATTAATGGACAATCCCAATCTAAAACTGAGATTTCTTCGCCACCCCAAGGCTTTTGTGCATGGTTCTTTGGCTGGCCATTACCGCAGGGGCTGGTTCACCGTCCGCGGATGGTCCAACAGATCATGATCTCATGTTGCCCTTGCACTCCGAGTTCCGCCGGGAGCAACAGGAGCAACGGCACCTCTTCGACGTGAACTTGTTCGATGAGCCGGATGAGCCGTATGAAGACTACCCCACTGACACTGGGACATGGTACAGCTGGGTGCTGAAAAGAGATATAAATGTTCTTTGATGTTCTTCATTGATTCCCAAACTTTTTGCGACCCCAATTGCTGCCAATCCCAAAGCTCAACGCATGCTCAGCTCAAGGCTAGACAGATTTCAAGCCTCTAAATCCTATGCTTGGAAAAATATCCCGAGTAAGTTTGTGAGACTGTGGAAGCTTGAAGTGGCCCTTCCTTCAAATTGTGAAATGACGTCCCATCATTGGCTCCCACTCTCGAGAAAAGTGTTGAATTCACCTGACATCAGCGACATAAGCCATCATTTTTCCGAGGAAAACGCCATCGTGAAGACCACTTGTGTGATCGATGCAGTGCAAGCGGCAACCTATTTGGGGAAGGCTGTGGTGAACATCTACCGCGCGGAGATTTGTCCTGATGATGAGCCTTTGGGCTGTACGGCTCCTACGAACTGAATGCGGGTGATCTCATTTTGAACCTATTTGACTTACATAACTACATTTAATTACTGGACCTACCCGGAGTAATAGGCCCTAACTACTAGTGTATTATACAATGCTATGATTTGGGATATGTTCCTACTAAGCTTGGTACCCCCTTCTTGATAATCGGGGTGGTACTTGGGGTTTTTGATCCTAGGTTGACAGGAGCAGTTGCCATGACTAGGAAACCAACGATGTGTCATATTATTCATTCGTGTTCGATGCACGTATTAATTCCGCGGCTCGCATTTGTCAATGCGCCGAAGGCAAAATATATACATGTTTCTTGTTTGGAGGGGTATATTTTTACGTACCTTTACACATTAATGTATCATTTCAGGTTTAAATGTACACAGAGGATCACAGAGGTACTTAAGACATCTCAAATAGCCGATGAGAGTTTACAAGACATGTTGCAAGAAACCCCATAGCTGCTCATAAATCCATGGTTTCCTCATGAACGAACTCATCTTCCAGGCTCCCGTGGCTCATGCCATCACTTCCATTCTGTGGCTCACGGCCTTTCTAACCAGCGCCAGCTCCACCTGTGCAGCTACCATCTCCTAGGGCGGCTCATGTGCTGCAGCCATTCTGAGGGATTTGGCCACGGCAGGGTCCACGATCTACGGCTTTGATGAAGATTGCTATTTGACCAAGCCCAGGGAGACCAGCTGGAGACTGTGCGTTTTTAAGGGTGGGGCGTACTTTGCTTAGCTTTTTTTAAAATAGCTCTTGTTCCATCATGTTCTATCTCCATCCGTCATCCAACTCCAGCAAGATGTGGAATGGCTCCCCAAGTGCAACTAAGGCGTGTGTATCAGCGGTGGTACCAGCATTTGCTCCCAGAACCCGAGGAGCGGCGCCTGCGGAGCACCAGAGGCGCGCAGAACCTCACGGCCTACCGCGCCAAGTCTGCCGAGATTGCCGCGAAGCTCCGAAATCTGACGGCGCCCTCAGCCGGTGGCCGGGCCGTGTTGCCCAACGTGCTGTTTGATGCCGAGAGCAAGGGACTTCCTCGCGATTTGGTGAGCAAAGAGCAGAAGGTCAGAGCAGTGGATGCCAAACATAACTACAACACTGAGCCTGGGTGGTGCTTTGAAAGATTTGAAAGATTATTTTGGCCGACTGTGTTGCTGGAGGTTGGCTTATCATCAATAATCCTACCATATCCTGCCACTATGAGGCTGCAACGCCATTTGCCATTCAAGTGGTTTAAAGGTGTATGTAGTATCTAATATATGTAGAATTGATTAGAAGTGCGTCAAATCTTTTGATGTATGTACGTATGTAATGTGATGTGATGTCATGTGGTGTGATTTGATGTGATGTGATGTGGTGTGATGTATGTATTTAACATGTACATACATGTCAGAGTTTTTAATTTGAACGGGTTCTTTCATGTCATTTTCAAAACCACGGGCTTGGTGCAACCTTTCCATTTACAAAAAACGGGCTCCTGAATGACTGAGGGAGTCCTGAATGGCTTGTTTGGTGGTAGATTTTCCGACAAAATTGGGTGATAAATAGATTCTGAATCAGTCTATCAAATTGCCTGGATGATATGCGATCAACATATTTGCTTACATTTTTGTGCAGACACACACACACACTATTTCACAAATTCCCACGTAGTATCTCCTTGCACCCCATTATATAATCCCCATATATGATGTGACTTGTTGCTGACCTGTTTATTCATGGATTAGATGCAGGTACCGTGGGCAGATCCTATGTTGAGTCCCTATTTATCGCGTACAGTACACTTTACATAGCAGTGCGTTGCATTGCTTAGCATGACTCAGATGATGATCCCCAGTATACACTCGGTGCCAGAATTATAGAACGGAATCAGGAGTACAAAAGTACGGTAAAATACCGTACCTTCGGAACTTCGGACTCCTCCGGATCCCGATTCCGCGCGGATTCGGATCCTGTTCTATAATTATTTTTTCCGTTCTATAATTATTTTTCCGTTCTATAATTATTTTTCCGTTCTATAATTTTTTCCGTTCTACAATTATTTTTTCCCGTTCTTAATTTTTCCGTTCTAGAATTTCTGGCAGCTCCATGATATTTATTGCATATTTGTACATGTACAGTACATATATCCCGGACAACAGTGACACGGAAACCAGAATTATAGAACGGTTTTCGTAAAATCAATTATAGAACGGAAAAAAAAATATAGAACGGTTTCCGCAGAATTAATTATAGAACGGAAACTTAATTATAGAACGAAATTGGTAAATGTGAGAAAAATTGGGGAACACAAAATTATAGAGCAAACCAGAATTATAGAACGACGAAAAAAATAGTGTAAGGAACAGAATTATGGAACAACAGGGTACGGTAAATAACCGTACCTTCGTACTCTTCAACTTCCGTTCTATAACTCTGGCACTGACCATAATTCCTTTCTAATGTTAAATGCGCCCCAAACCCTGGAGTAGTTATGGATCTAATTTATACGTATAACAAGGTGCAGCCCACGAACCCGAATGCTCACACGTATGTTAATGGTACAGATGTCGAAACACATGGATATGCAGTCACGTAGAAGACTTTTCTGCAATAGTTGATTTGAACAGTCTTGTACATATATATTTCCCCTGTTACCAGTCTGCATTGTGGAGTGGAAAGCGTAGAGTGTGGAGTGTGGAGTGGAAAGTGTAGAGTGTGGAGTGTAAAGTGAGGAGTCTGGAGTGTAAAGTGTGGAGTGGGGAGTGTAGAGTGTGTAAAGTGTAGAGTGTGGAGTGTGGAGTGTAGAGAGTAAAGTGTAGAGTGTAAAGTGTAGTGTGTGGAGTGTAAAGTGTACAGTGTGGAGTGTGGAGTGTAGTGAGTGTGGACTGTAGTGTGGAGTGTGGAGTGTAAAGTGTGGAGTGAGGAGTGTACAGTGTAAAGTGTGGAGTGTAGAGTGTAAAGTGTGGAGTGTAAAGTGTAGAGTGTAAAGTGTAGAGTGTGGAGTGTAAAGTGGGAAGTGTGGAGTGTGGAGTGTAAAGTGTAAAGTGTGGAGTGAGGAGTGTAAAATGTAAAGTGTGGAGTGAGGAGTGAAAAATGTAAAGTGTAGAGTGTAGAGTGTGGAGTGTAAAGTGTAGAGTGTGGAGTGTGCAATGGAAAGTGTAGAGTGTGGAGTGGGGAGTTCAAAGTATTGAGTGTGGAGTGTAAAGTGTGGAGTGGGGAGTGTAGAGTGTGTAAAGTGTGGAGTGTAAAGTGGAGAGTGTGGAGTGTAAAGTGTGGAGTGAGGATTGTGGAGTGTGTAAAGTGTAGAGTGTGGTGGAGTGTGGAGTGTGGAGTGTAGAGTGAGGAGTGTAAAGTGCACAGTATAAAGTGTGGAGTGTAAAGTGTGGAGTGAGGAGTGTAAAGTGGGGAGTGTGGAGTGCAAAGTGCAGAGTGTGGAGTGTGGAGTGTGGAGTGGAAAGTGTAGAGTGTGGAGTGTGGAGTGTACAGTGAGGAGTGTGGAGTGTAAAGTGTGGAGTGAGGCGTGTGGAGTGTGTAGAGTGTGGAGTGTGGAGTGTAGAGTGTAAAGTGCAGAGTGTAAAGTGTAAAGTGTAGAGTGCGGAGTGTGGAGTGAGGAGTGTAAAGTGTGGAGTGTAGAGTGTAGAGTAAACAGTGTAGAGTGTAAAGTGTGGAGTTTGGAGTGTGGAGTGTGAAGTGAGGAGTGAGGAGTGTAAAGTGCAAAGTGTAAAGTGTGGAGTGAGGAGTCTAAAGTGTAAATTGTGGAGTGTGGAGTGTAACGTGTAGAGTGTGGAGTGGAACGTGTAGAGTGTGGAGTGTGGAGTGTAAAGTGGAGAGTGTGGAGTGTAAAGTGTGGAGTGAGGATTGTGGAGTGTGTAAAGTGTAGAGTGTGGTGGAGTGTTGAGTGTGGAGTGTAGAGTGTGGAGTGTAGAGTGTGGAGTGTAAAGTGTAGAGTGTAAAGTGTGGAGTGCAAAGTGGAAAGTGTGGAGTGTAAAGTGTAGAGTGTGGTGGAGTGTAGAGTGTGGAGTCTGGAGTGTAGAGTGTGGAGTGTAGAGTGTGGAGCAAAGTGTAGAGTGTAAAGTGTGGAGTGCTTTGTTGCGCCAGCCACACAAAAGAACTGTCGACACGGTATAAAACAGGTTGGAATGTCACACAGTGCCACGCCTGCCACGCAAAACAACGCAACAACCTGCTTGGAAACCTCCAAAAAGGAGAGGTTGTGCAGCTTCCCCTATAGACACGGCGAAGCCACGGGAAAACCAGAGACTCGAGACGAGACACGTGGTAGCGCCAAAACGAGCATTTCGTGCGAGACATCCTCCAATTTTGACACTTTGTAGCATCAAAATCGAAGTTTTCCTACGAGTTTTCTGAGGAACCTGAAAATTTGCTATCCCAAAATCGATGTTTCGTGCCAGGCTTCCATCAATTTTCAGCACATCTCACAAAATGCCACGCCTGCCACGGAATCCGCACCTTGTCGCCACTTGATGCAGCCCTGCCAATGCGATTCGCAAAAAACACGCAACACGACACGTCTAAAGTGCTGCGCCTGCCACGCAAAATGACGTCCAAAGTGCTGCGCCTGCCACGAAAACTGCAACGCATCTTCTGAAAACGTCACAAAAGTATCGCGCCTGCCACACAAAACCATTTTCGACACGTTACAAAACACGTCTGAATGTCACGAAGTGCCACGCCTGCCACGCGAAACGAAGCAACGAGATGTTTGAAACCTACAAAAAGCACCCCTTCTGCAGAACTTACCATAGGCACGGCTATACGGGGATCGCGCGAACGGTTGCGGACGGTTGCGAACGGTTGCGGATGTAAACGCAACGTCGAGCGAACACACCCTCAACCCCCAGACCCCCAGAGTGAAACTGGAACCCTTGCTACGCATTCGGGAAAAAAGCCGTGTTTCCAACTTCAAAACGACCATCAAATCA